CCAATGGCAAGAATGCGCTTGCTTGGATGCCAGGTCACAGATGTCACCTGGGCCGTAGGATGTGGTGGGATGTCCACCTCATCGCATAGCTTGCCCTGGTAAGAGGAGGTATGTTTACAAGTATACATTTCATATCCTACAAGTTTGTTATGTATTTATGTACCTGGTATGCAAAGGCAAAATAATTCTCTTTATTTCTCACTCTTTCTCCTTCTATTCCACTCACACTCATTCATATGCACACTTCCTCTCACTCTCACACCCACACTCATATTGACATACACAATCACACTCAAACTCATACTCACACTCACTCACACACTTGCACTTGTACTGGCACTCGCACTCACTCTCACTCTCATATTTACAGTCAAACACATGCTCACACTCACACTCTCTCTCACTCATGGGTAATTCTTATTAAAAGGAGAGATTCATGAACATAATGGAAATAGTATCTAATAAAACATATAAATGATATCAATACAAGTCATTAACCAACGAAGATCTAATACATTAGGGGCATTACCTTTATAATGCACAAGAGTCATTAGGGGGTCTTTTTGGTATGTTCTTGCAACATATTTAAGACATGGCGACTTTTTACCTTACATGAAAGGAGACTGGGTGGAAATGACGTTGCCAGCTTCTCTGTACCCTCTCACTTACATCCCTGTACACATCCCAATAAAGCACAAAACTAGATTTTGTAAGTGAGGCTGGTTAACCATATAATACTCGTAATGCTCCAATCTGCATATTTTTTCTATTTATTCACTGTTTTTCTATCTTAAATATAGTCTGGTATACTTTGTGCACTTCCTCAATTATAGAAGGTAATATATACTATTGTTACAGTTTGTCAAAATTGCATAAAACTACTCTATGTGGTTAATGCAATTCAAAAGATACAATAATCATACTTCGAAAGAATTATCAATATTGTATTAGCACTGCAAACCTTTCTCTAAGATTTACCCAATAATGCAAAAAAATATATATATTTGTCTATCAGACATTACATAGCATTACATATCTGCTTCATCTTACCAGACATATACATAACCACACATAAGGACAAAAGTATGACTGTACATATATCAAGAAGAACACCCTGCCATGTATAGAGCTACATACTTTCATGCACATAGTCTATACACACCCACATCCACATCTACAATTACACTAAGGTCATACCTGAAAAAGAATACATCTTTTAAAAATCAAAGATGAACTATATAAGATTTAGATCATACATGTGATTTATTTCATATATTCATTAACTACCATCTTATTTTAAGTTTTTAAAACAAATATCATCTTTACATGGATTTAAATTTAAAGTTTAATCATTAGCTACTTGTTAAGCAATATCAATCAAAATAGAGAAATCTCAGGCACACAAGTGAAAATAACATGACAGGTGTGCCAGAAAATTTATAAGAACTCACTAACAAAACACCAATATCTTTACCTCCCCTGTGTACACATTGACTGCTCCCCCTTTCTCTTCACTAAAGGAAGCTACAGCGAGACAGGTTGCCTGAGGATGCCATGCTATCTGGGTGTTGATTGCATTACTAACTGGACTTTCTACTATGCAGTCAAAATACAGCGACATATTTTACCTGTAAAATTGCAGGTAGGGAAAGCTAGGTTATCATAGTTATAAAAACTTGAAACATTATGACACTAAAGGATAGGGGAAAGTAATCATATTCAGTAAGATAAACAATATAACACATCATAGATTGCATCTACAGAAAATAACTACCCCTGTGCTACACTAGTCTTACATCTTAGCCTAGCTTATCATCTAGAAAAAGAAAGACTTTTATATCTACTCCTTGCTGCTGTGGCTAGGTACAGTAAGAATTTTTTTACTCCAAATGTACAAAACTGACAGAAAGATGAAAATAAATGTATATCATACTAAGTTACTACAAGAGCAGCATAGATATTACTGATTCCTTTAATGAATACAGGAAAGGAATATATAATTAACAAATCATTTTCTTCTGGAAAAATTGAAAATGTAAAAATGAGATTTTTCTCTCTTTTCACCATTCACATGCTAAATGAATTCCAAATAGTAAACACTAACCTAATGTATGCCTAGACCAGTAAAAGAATTCTATCACTATCAATTAAAAAAAAAAAAATTATCAGCTCAGAAAAAATGCAAAATATTTTTTAGCATGCAAATATATTCACAAGACGTTCCACAATGCAACATATCTGCAAATGATTTCAAAAAGAAAAATTTACATATATACAGAACAGGTTATACATAGTAATTTTCAGAAGTTATAGTTACAAGGCCAATAACAAATCTAAATAAAGAATATATGTAGAAAATCTTTAACTCATAAGATAAAGCCCTATAACATGATTCTGATAAAAGATTTTACTATTTAATCATCAACTCTAATTCTACATTTTCATTCCAGTAAATTATTTTTTCCATTAAATATCAAAACATTTTTAGAAAAACAGAACT